TTTGAAGAAGAAGAAAAAAAAGCACCTTTGGGACAACTTCAATACTTGGGCACTGCATAGAAAAGAAAGTGATCCACTGAAAGATAGCCCAGGATCACTTTATACAATCAATACATAATTATCAATTTAAAAAAGTATTTATTTGATATTTTTAATTCTGTCTTTATTACCTTATAAATAACTCAAGGTAAACAGATCTAATATGCCTTCCTCCTGCTCAGCTGTTGTGCTCAGTCCACAATAACTCTGTGAGGTGGGTTGGGACTGAGATAGAATGATTGATGCAAAATCACCCAGCTGGATTTCATGCCTAAGGCTAGATTAGAACTCAGTCTCCTGGTTTGTAGGCCTGCACCTTTGGTTAAGGAATAATTGGCCACAATGTTTTTTTTTTCAGGAAACATTGGAACATTCTGCATAGTTTTATTTCAAACCTTACCAATCTGCCCTTCTGGAGGCAGTAAATCTGCAACAGGAGATTGGTATCACGGTACATTGGATGTGATCTGGCCTTGTTTTCTGGGAAAAGTGCTGAAACATCTATCAGCATGGACCTGAAGGAAACAGAACACTCTGGTGTTTTCCAGAACATTCCATCTCACAATGATAAACTGAGCATACCCCTACTTTTTTCACATCTGCTGTTTTTAATTGGAATTGCTAAGGTGTGATCCTGTAATGTTGTACATTGAAAAGTAAGGATTGACCCTGGTCCAGTCCCCTAATTTGAAAAAAAAATGTTTTTTTAAAATAGATATTGTCATTATATACAATACTAGCTAAAAATTATTTACAGAAATCTTAAAATATGGTTTTGCCCACAATTATCAACAAAGAAAATACACTATGAGTAAACACTCCATAGAAAATGCCATTAATATACTATAAGCAATTAGCATTGTGTATAGAAATATTATATGATGAAATGTGCCAAATTCAAAATTGAAGTTTATAGTTCTGATAATATCAATTGCAATTAAATGAAAAAGCAAAATAATTGGGCCCTCACATGTTTGGCACTAAAAAGGCAGGTTATATAGATATTCTAGAAAGTGTTTCTGAGCCCATTTTTAAAACATTATAATCTTGCCTCAACTGGGACTGAGTGTGTAAAACATTCTTCCACACGTGCAGTATATGTGCACATTTCAGATAGCCACAGACTGTTTGTGTGTTCTTCTTTGTACAACAGCACCAGGCTTCTACAGCTCTTCTGCATTGATTACCTTCTGACTCAGCTTCAGTGCAGAAGAAAATGCCAAGATAACACTTTGGTGACTGCATTTTGCTGGAGCTTCAATACAGGTGGCTTCCCACTGATAAAAACTTTCATTTCTCTTGAATTAAGAACCTATGGCACCTAAGACTTTCATCAGGCATATTATACTGAGAAAGTAGCCTTTTCCCCATTATAAAAAATATGCTATGAAGTATCATAAGAATGGATGGGGCACCGAATGGAACCTGGTTTTTAATGCTAAGAATATTGCAGACATTGGTTGACTTATGGGGAAGATGGACCATTATAAGGATGACAGTGTGAAGGGACCTGTGAGGTAGCCCAGAGAAGCTTCTAAAGGCTTCTGGGGAGAAGCTGATGGTCACGAACACAGTCCCACTACTACATGATCTATTCTGATTGCAAGCTTTGAAACTGGACCTGCTGAACCATTTGGTTTATCACTGAACATGTCCAGTGACAAACCAAATCTAAATCTTCTGCTAGATTGTCATAGAATTATATTTGCTCTTTCTGATTAACAGACAACATTTTTGGTGAGAAAATGTAATCTGTGAACTTTTACTGTGAAATTTAATTGGAATGATGTCTTATAAGTGACGGGCTCATGTTATGTTATGAATCAACAGGGTACAAGAAAGTGTGTAAAATCCTGTCAATGTAATTTATTCAATAACAATGGATACGTTTATGAATATGGTACACATCAATTGTGCCCATTCCACTTGATCAGTATCTTGTGGGGAAAGTGCAAAACAGATGGAGAAAATCAAAATGATCCTGCCTGTATCACTGTGCCCGTTACTCAAGCACAGAGGACAACTCTGCAGAAAAATATTGCAGGAAAAAATCCCTCACACATGCACAAAAAGGGAGCACACATATGATTTAATGAAAATGTGCAGAGATAGTTAAATAAAAACAGGTTAGGAAGCTATTTCTAGCATAAGTGAGGGATTTAACAGTATCAAACAGTATCTCTAGGGGTTGGGTATTTAAGTCATCATTGTAATTCTAACTGATGGTGTGATGAGATACAAGGATAGAGTACCAACCATTGTTGCCTGCAAAGAAATAGCTTTTTACTAAACCATGTCAAATAGCTTCTGATGTTATTTTGAGGGATAAAATGAACACAACTGCATCATGGACATCTAATCTTAATATGCAGATCTGAGTACGCAGTCAGGCATAGGAGAAATTGAAGGTAGAAGGATTGTGACTGGAAAAATTGAGCCATATAGCAGTTCCTTATAGCTTTAAAGAACTAGAAGGAAATGGAAAAATGACAGGAATAAAAGGTCCGATGGTGCCTGGGATGTTCCCCCTAACACTACAGGACCCTGGCACCAGGGTGTGCCCTCCAGAGAGCCCCAAGACTCCTTGCCGTCCTGCCGCGGTCGCCAGATAATTGTTGTGGAAAAAACCACGATACTTACATCAGAAGACAAGACCACGAAGGGTTGGAGAAAACAGGCTTTATTTGTGCACAATGGTTCAGAGCATTCACATGACAGATTCTGAACCCTGAGTTACTCTGAGGGTGTCATTTTTATACAGCTTGCCGCCCACGCTTAACCTAATAGATGACTTCTTATCTACCTTTAACACACTAAAAGAGGGAAGTTCATATCTTGAGACAACACACATAGGAAAAAGGGAAGTTTATACAATGTGCAGAAAACCACACTCCCCTACACGTATAATATCTTACACCATTTGTGACTTTCGGTTGGCACTTCTTGTAAAATGGTTTCTACATAGCATGAACACATCTTTATGATTTTAGGTTACATTACACAGCCAAGCTTAATATTATCTATTACCTAAAACAGCATCCAGCATTCCTATTAGGATATATTTCTATAAACTTTTCCCTGGCCACCTCAAGAGCAAGGATCCAACTATTTTAGATTTTATTTGATTATTCACATAAAAGGAGCTTGCAGTATTTATGGAATCACTGCATCTTCATGTTAACCTGAGATAAAGGGTACATGGACACATACTATAAAACTAGGATTTTATTATAGTTTGATAACTTGTTCAGCAGGACCCAGATTCTGGACAGCACAAAAATCAAATAAAGAGTGAACAAGAAATAAGATACAATAATAAAGTCTGTTGACACTATATCATAGTTCGTAAGCCAGAAAGCCATAGTTCAAAATGGCCAAAAAACTAACCAGAATTCTGAGCCCAAAAATACATTATAACTTTGAGTTATGAGCAAACCAGATTCAAAATATATCTCAGGCTAAGCTCCATGTATCCTCTTGTGCTATATAGTAGTTAACATTCATGGAATCATTTGTAGTGATTCAGATGTAAAGATGAAATGAATGAAGTTATATTGAGACTGATAGTTCAGATTAGTGTATGGATGATGTTTTTTTTCATTAGTTCAGCAAGCAAGCAAGGCTTTTTTAAATTTATTTATGACCCACAATATTGAAGGCAGCTCTGCCTCAACCTCGGGGCAGATTTAAAATGTGTGGACTCCAACTCCCAACATTCTTTAGCCAGCATGCTGGCTAAGGAATTCTGGAAATTGAAATTCACAGATTTTAAATCTGCCAAGATTGAGAAACAGTGGCCTATGGGCTTACCCAAGTGTAGGGAAATTCTTACTTTTGTTTTTTGGTTTTTTTGTTGCTGAGTTTCAGGAATGAGATCTATTAAATATCATTAAAAAAGAATATCTATTAAATCTATTAAGTCTCTCCCTATTGTGGATGGAAGGATATATTTGATGAGGGAATCACTCAATCACTCTGATGCTTAAGATGACATAGAAAGATCTTCAGGTCCAATCAATATTTAGAAACAATACTCAGAAAGCTGAACACTTTATGTAGCCTGCTCTACCGGTATTAGTAGCATTCCCTGGTTGGCTGGCTGGTTGGGTCCTTACACCTGAAATGGGACAGGAAGAACACCCCCCCCCCGGGAGGCTTTTTTTTCTGGGAGTAAGAGTAAGCTTCAGGGTGCTGAGGTAAAACAGGACTGAGCGGAAAGAACAAATTCTTATGAGGGAAAGAGGCTGCACTCCTTCAGAAAGATAAAGAGATTATGAGATTGCCATTCCAGGGAAAGAAAAGATGCCTATCATCAGCCTATAGACTACACCCTGGCTGCCATGAAAGGAAGTCTGGGTAGGCCTTTCACTGGGTCTTAGAGAACATATTAGTAATAGCACTTAGACTTACATACCACTTCATAGTGCTCTACAGCCTTCACTAAGAGGTTTACAGAGTCGGCATATTGCATATCACATTTTGGTGACTTCAGAAGAATGGAAGGCTGAGTCAACCATGAGTCTGTCAGGATCGAACTCCTGGCTGTGGGCAGAGTTAGCTTGCAGCACAGCATTCTAACCACTGCACCACCAGGGCTCATAATGAGGCTGAGGGTTAATGAAGCAACAGGATTGGTGAGGGCCATTTGGCCGGAAAGGACAGCTATTGAGACATTTTGCTCACTGGTTTAATGTTTTATATTATTGTGATGCTTAATTTGATTTTATTTTTATCTTAACAGTCATTATTTTAATTAAAGCCTGTAACGCCCTCCAATGTGTGTTGGTATGCCTGGGCTGGGGGGCGGGTTGATCATTTGGGAATGGGACAGAAGGGCCCAGTTGCCAATGGCCTTTTCAGGGGAAGCGCTACACTTAGGATATCAGAAAGCTGAACTTTGCGACTGAAGTAAAATAAATGAAGGAAACAAGTGCAAATTGTATTTCAGTAAACAGAATTACCTGATGAAGCTCCTCTTGAAAGGTTATTACCATCTGAAATATAAGTAAAACTGGACTTACAGAGAGCATTTGATTACTTATTTCAAATCATTAACTTAATAAGAAGACAGTTTGAGGCTAGCCTTTAGGGCATGAAACAAGGAGTATACACACACAAGAACATTTGTCTCAATATGGCTATAGATCCACCAAATAGTGGTGCATTAAGTTGTTTTCAAAATCAAACAGCTGAGTGTTTTGCCAATTCCAGTTGGATATAGAAAGCCTCTGGGCAGAAGACAATGGTTGACAATGAAAGCCAAGTTGATCCCTTTGGCACTGCTAGATTCAGAACCCAGGTTGCACAAAACAGAAAAGCTCTTATTGCTAGGAATTATGTGCAAAGCCATTCATCATTGTTGCTTTCTAGTAGGAGAAGATTTGATTTTACAATAATTCAAACAAAGCTTTCGAAAAACTCTGTTGCTCAGACAGGGATGGCAAAATGACTCAAGAGGAATTGGGAGAAAGCAAATCAGCAGTATAGCAAAGGTAAATATTTGGATTGTCAAGGGGATGTAATTTCACTCAATTAATCTATGCATCTGAATCACTGGAAATCATTATTTGATGAGTGTTAACTAATTAGCAGCACTAGACCAGAACTGGGAGTCTTAGTTTCAAATCTTCAATCACATGCCTGGCTGAGGAATTCTGGGAGTTGAAGTCACAAGTCATAAAAGGGCCAAGTTTGAAGTCCCCTGCACTAGGGGATCAGTGTCCCATGATTTCTCACATTAAGCTATATGTAGCACTTGTATTATCTAAGGAGGAGGAGGACGCGGCCTTTCAGACTGATGGCATCTTTTGCACATTGGATAAGATTTAAGACTGCAGGACATTCAAGGCTCACTTCTAGTAGATTTTGTGAGAGTTGAGCCACTCTTTTGGTCATGTCTTCAGGGAATATGGCCAAAAGCATGGTGACAGGAGGAAGGATGACCTGTAATTCTAGTTTGGGGCTTTAGCAATGGGTCATGGCAGGAGAAGGTTTAAGGCCCAGACCAGATGCATTCACAGTACTGTGGCATGACCTTGGTTCATGCTATACAGGGAGATTATTTTTTTTCCCCAGCTGGCTAGTGAATGATTGATTATGCAGCCACTAATAAAGATGTCCCTGTAAAGAATTTGGATGCAGATCTTATCTCCTGTAACCAATAAAACTGGGGCCAATGTTTTCTCACTTGCTAGAAACTGTTTTCTTTGCTATAATCTTCTTTTACTTCTGCTTCTTGGTCCAGTTTACAATATTCAACATGGGGTACAGGATAAATATAGGATAAAAAAGATTGGAGAAGGACAATCAATATATATCCAAAGGGTAACACACGTCATATTGAACTTATAGGTGGAGAACTGAGAACCCGAGGCATTCCTAACTAGACAGGCTTTTGAAGCAAGAAATACATTCCATTTTGGAATCAATCATGATATGAGGTGGAGGCAGATTAATTATTTATAGGTTGTTTTGCTGTAAAGCTCAGATGTGTAAGGCCAAGTACTATGCTAAATAATGAAACAGACTAAGTAAGCAGAATATCAGTTATATAATATTTTGTCACATGAGGCTCACAAAGTTTTTATAACACTCTGTTCCACCCATTTATATAACTTTTAATATAAGTTTAAAAAGTCTATTGTCGAGTTTGATAGATTATAATGGCTGTTTAATACGATTATTTATGAATATGTTAACTGTATCACTGCAACATTTCCCACATTTTTTTTCTCTTCCACAATTTTCTTTCTTACATAGCATATTCCTTTGCTTTGTAATCAAAAGTGAACAATACTTGAATTTAGAATAGTTTTTTTCCTGAGCAGGATTTGTGACTAAATAAAGCAAGGACAGGAATGAGCTACTCATGACTTCAGAAAAATGCATCAATCAGCAACTGTCTTATATCTTCCTCCAAGATTCTCTCATAGTCAATGTTTACTGCAGAACATAAGAATAAAGAATTAATCATGTTCACTTTTTCAATCTGCAAAATGATAAATTTTAATATCTAACACAGGTTTACCAAAATGAAGAATGAATGTAATGAACTTCTGGAAAAGGAAATCTTAATTTCTTAATTTCTTTATCTGCACAGTTCATCTAAGTTCAGTCATCTGTATAGTGCTGTACAGTTTTGCTTTATTATTGGCTTGAGCCATGTGGAAATGTTGAAAAAAGAAGTGAAGCAAAAATATATAAGTAAATAAAAAGCAAATCTACATTCTCAAAATCAAAATTGTAACTATGACATTATGAAGTAGTTTTTAATGAAATTGTCGAAGATTCATATCTCAGTGAAGAACTATGATTTTTCTCTCAGTAACTTTTTGATCTGGCATCCAGTTTTACTACACGAGTTATCTGATTATAATTGCTTTTTGAGCTGGATCTGTCTATAGCTATATAAGGCTTGCCAGATGCTTGACTCTCCCTCCCTCCCTCCCTCAACTCTGTTGGATAATTTTCATTCAACATTTTTGCAAGATCAAAGAGTTATTTGTCTGTGTTTATATATTATACAGGATACCAATTAATCTCTGCTTTCTTATAGTTTCACAAATGTTTTCTTCAAATATTGTGCCCAACTATATATCCAAAAGGAAGATATCATAATCAAAGTAGTCAGGTGCAAAATTGACAGCAAGGCTGGCCGGGCCATTTGATGACCATATCCTCACTTGCTGAAGCTCTAGATTGGGGATGTCCAACCACGGCAATTTTAAGACTTGTGGACTTCAACTCCCAGAATTCTGGGAGTTGAAATCCACAAGTTTTAACATTGTCAAGGTTGGACATTCTCCTCTAGATGGTTTGACCACTCTATTAGCTCATTTATTAGTAATCAGTGTTCTCGACTGTTGATTTTCGTATCAGAGTGGTCTCCTGAGGTTGTATGACAATGGGAAAAGTTAACTAGATAATTAAAAACTAGTAAATAAGTAGAGAAATTCCAAGAAATGTTCCAGCTAGGAGATCTGGGAGACAAGATAGCTGAAAGGATTCTAATTTTATTACTGTATCAAATATTATGTGGATGTGTCATTGTATTCCTGCTCAAAGTTAAGAATCCAAAGGCTCATACAACTATTTCTATACTTTAGGACAAAACCCAGGGCCAGAAACACACAAGCTGAAAGCTAAGGGCCATATACAGTCCCCAGTTTCCTTTGTTCACTATCTGACTGTGGCCGCAGAAAACTGATGGAACAGCTTCCCTCCATTTTGTTGCCATTTTTCCTAAATTAATGTATTTGTTGAAAGGTAAGATTTTCCACCTCCGCCATTTCTGTCTTTAAAAGTAGTGATCTCCAGGTTCAGGCTACACTAAAGGGAATTCTAAATTGTGTAAGATGTTTTGCTATACTCTAAATTTCATGGTTCGATAAGCTAAGACATTTATGTAACCTACACTATAGAGACCTGCTCCAGTAAGCAGAACAATGGAATTGCTATTTTAATTTCCTCTTCCTGTCCTATAGCTCAAATGATACCAACAAGGGCTAGTGCATAGTCTCTATATGCAGCTATATGTAGTTCAAAATCAACAATGCTGCATCGGAGCTCACATTTGCAGAGGAATGTTATGGCTTAGTTATAATGGGTAACTGTGGGACCAATGTGCATATTGGCTTGTGCTTGGTATCTTTGCTCATCTGACTTTTTTGTTTTGTGACTGGCAGTAAACCTGCTGGGAAACCCCCAGGAAACCCCCTTCTGATGCAGCCATAATATCTACTATGTGAATTCATCGTTCCAACTAGGTCTAGTATCTGCTATGCAGATATGTAATTCTGTTCATTTTCTGTTCAAGATAAAAATCTTGATATGTAGCCCTTACGGCACAGTATTTCCTTTTGGCTGTTTGCCTTCATGAAACAATTGCAGATTTCCCCCCCCTCCCTTTGTTCATAATTCTTTTTAATCGATTAACCTTTTGTCACTTATTACTTCATTCCTAAAAAAAAAAATACCTCCCACTGGAATCTGTGGAAATGCCAGCACACATTAATTCCTCGGGAGGCATCAGGCATGCTTATTCCTGGAATGGAGGATAGGAGGGAGAATTCAGGATACTAGGTGCTTTTTGTTCTCTCTTTCTGAGTAGAACAGCAGCTCCAGGCAGATGGAAAATCTTTCCTACTGATTCTCCCAAGTGAAAGATAAAACTGCAGTTATTTGAATCACATAATGTATGTGATGAACCTCCAGCAACAGAAGCCCACAGTCTGCAGTGTCTAGCCAGAAGCATAATATCTTGTGTTCCTGGAGGCTGGGTAGCAAAGGCTGTGTGGCAATTCTGAAACCACACAGAAATGGAATAGCACAACTAATATGATTGACTATAGACCAGGATATACCAAACCATTATATCCCTAGGATAGGATTTTTTTTTGTTTGTTCTTGCTTATATCAGTCACAAAATTACAGCTCTTGGATCCCTCTTCTCACCCTATCATATAGAATTTGGCTATGAAAAAAACCCTAGCTCATTGGATGTTGTGGCCATATCTCTATCCCTCTGAATTATTACTAGCAATTAAGTTTGATTCTGATTTGGATTTTGTTTAATTTGGAGGCAAAGCTGTCCCCACTTTGAAATGGCTCACACACATTTACCCCTGAATAGAATTCATGAAGTTATCATAAAAATGAACATTCCAAATGAACATTTGAAGCTTAAAATTATATGTGAATCTGTATGAAGGCATGATTAACACTCTTAAGATATTGGCAGTCATTTATAGGTCAGTACTGACCATTGGGTCACAAAGAACAGCAACGACTGAACAATTAAACAACAATAATCATTTTGAACTTATGCACATATTTCTGAAGCGGAAATATAATAATTGAACCTAGGTATTGCTAACAAAAGCACCTGCTTTTCCATGAGCTATGAGCATTCCACTCCACAGATTTTCTTTCCAAAGAACGTGCTATGATCATTATTCAATTCTAACAGAATAACAAAATAGCAACGTTGCAAGGGACCTCAGACATCTTCAACCCCCTGCTCAAGAATTCTACTTCTCTTACCCCAGAGGTACCCCTAATAAAGATACATATACTTACGGTTTGTAACTTTGGCTGTTAGTATCTGGCTGAATTTCTCTGGAGACTCCACATTTTCTTCATCAGTTACATATTCAAAGCTAATAATAAACATCATGGCCACTCCTTCTTGATTTTTCACTGGGATGATGTGGGTGTTACAAATGAAGGTAGACCCTAGAAAGAAGAGGAAAAAGCATCAACAAAAGTTTCTATGGAAATAATTCAGTTCCAGCTACTTCCTTATAAGAGATTCCAAAATGGTCAGTGAAATACAGGCACTCTTGTTTTGTTGTGAGTGTCCTCTGACAATTCAAACACAGTGTGCTCTACCCCAGAACACCTCCCACTTGCATTGTGGCTTCTTCCCCAACTGCATTTTGTGCACCACAAAAGCTTTGGACACCTGTGTACAATCCTACCAGGGATCAACACTCAGGATCCTACTCAGTATCAACAACCAAGTGAAATTTTGTCTTTAGCCATTGATTTAGCAAATGATTGAGAACTTTATTTATGGCAATGCCACAAATGAAGCCCTTTTGGTCCCTAAAGCACTGAGGCAGATGTGGTTTCCCAAAGGCTTGTAAGTGATCATGTGAAAGATTTTTCCTGGTCATTTGCACAGGGATATATATGCACAGAATCTTCTGGGATTGCTGCCAAAACAAATCATGTTGGGAACCATGTGCTGGATCAGGATACCCTTCAGCCAAAGTCAGGATGGTCAAAAATATAAGACTGTATTCAATTCGATAAAAACTGCAGTATTTGTTCGACCAGTATGCTCAATCCCAGGCTGTCACTCTTTGTGCATACACACACACACACACACACACACACACACACACACACACACACACAAACACACACACACAAACACACACACACACACACAACATAGACTGTTCTGACTGGAAGCAGAAACGTGGGAACTTACAAGTGCTGGTTCATCCTCCACAAACTTCAGACAAGTCCTAACTAAGGTTACTTAGCCCGCCCCCCCAAAAAAAACCTATGGCAGCAATTGTCTCTCTGGCTCAACAATCTGATTTAAGTTGTGCTTTTGTTGGTGCAGCCTATGAAAGCAATTGCAGAGTGCCCGCCATTGCGTTCACGTCCATCACACCGAAAACATTCAGAAAGCATCACCGAAATGGCAGAAAATAGATATGGAAAAATGCTCTTTTGGTTTTGAAGTCCAGCGCATATACTGAAATCAGCAAAAAGGGCACTTTTCTGTACCATTTATATTTAGCTTGTTCCTTTTCAAAAATAGACACATAATTGACTGAAAATAGTGAAATCTGTTTTTTCCCTTCCAGAACCTGCTACTTATTTAATTATTTACAGTACAATAACTTTTAGGACTCCTCCTCTGCCTGGGAGTCTAGGCTGTTGCTCAGAGTAAAACAAAAACCAAATAACAGCTATAAAGCATATGGACTGCTATCATCAGAAGGAACCCTTAAAGCACTGCAGCAAAATAAGGCAGACACTGCCATATGATGACACCCCATTTACTGCGCTAGGTTGACTGATCACTTTTTGCACTCAGTCCACGGGGTTGGCCTCCAGAATAAGTCACCTGCTTCAGGGGAGGTCTTTCTAATGATAGCTCCCAATGCAATGCCCTGCTGGTTAGTCATCTGGCAAAAGGTTTTCTTCTGTGTGATTCCTGAAATGTCAATGGGCCCTCTTTGGAACTGCAGTTGCTTTGCCATTTCTCTGCTTTTAGGAAAGGTGTCAAGATACACCTTTATTTTTAGCCTTTCAGCATGTCTTCTTGACCCCTGCTCCTTGTCAGTATTGGATTAGCTTCATATAATATTTCTAAATGTATTTTTCACTCTTTTGTTTTATGTTCCTCTTCCTATTTTTAGTCACCTTGAATGCCATACTTTGATGGGAGTTATAGTTCAATGTATCCGCAGGGTGTCAACTTGGGAAGGCTGTGGCATTCCAGCATGTATCACAAAATAAAATGTATATTGTTTCTCCTGTTGGGTGTCATTTTACGACTGCACAAGCCACACATAAAAACTGACAGGTCTTGCCTTTCAAATTGTGTAGCTCCAGCTTCAATCCATTTAATAAAACAGTTAAGCTGTGACACTTGCCACAGTTTCCATGGGAACAAACAGGATGACTTTAGTAAACAGAAAATAAGCAATTTAAGACTCTTCCATCTGGGGTAAAAATAGAAGTGCTACAGGCTGCACGCTGAAATTGAGACTGGTTAATCAGAGAATTGGAAGAGAGACTAGACAGATCCATTATGCTTTCAGTTAATTAACAAAAATAAATATTGACTTTAAAGACTTCAAAATGATATTTCCTGATTTATTGGAAAAGGCAGTTGCATAATGTAGTTTGGAAATGTTTGACATGTTTTGCATCACGTTTATTACATAGTGACATGCAGACTGCTTGGCCTCTGATGCCAATGAGGGAGGGAGGGAGGAGAAAGGAAATGAGATACATACTTAGAGCACAATGTAGAATTAGTTGCAATAGGCTTTGGAAATGGAGGACTTTGCTTATGTGCTCCAAAACTGGCATTATTTTGGCAGAAAGTCATTCATGTTGGAAGTGTGGAGTTTCCTTCTTGATTTTTAAGTCCTTGGCTAAATCTGGAAGGCAAAGCCACTTAAGCTTGTTCTAACTCTTCTTTACCCCAGGGCTGATCTTCAGCTTCTTCCTGGACTGACATCTGGAGTTCTGCTTATACATCTGGTTATAGTTCAATGGATCTGCCAAGTGTCAACTTGGGAAGGCTTATACATGATCAAAAAAGAGGAGAAACGTTTGCATGAAAATTGTACGTATTGACTCATCTGGCTTGATCTAAATGTAGGTATGACGGCCAACACTGAAATGGAAAGACCAGATGGGTCTAAGACATTAGAAACACTGTAATTAATTATCGTTATCTAGTAATTGATAGGCAACTTTAAGAATGCTTTTTAGCGAGGCACACCATATCTGGGTGGCAAAATCCCAAGTGACTCCCAGAAGGCTTGCATGTTTCTGATGGAATGTTATTTCTTGAATTGGGCTGGAAAAAATAACTTCCTCAAAGGGATAGAATTATCCTTTGGCCCAGTATAGGGCCCCACCCAGCATCCACGGTTCTGCAAATGGGATGTTTTAAAGTAATGGAAGGAGAAAATGAATTAATACATGAATTTCGGCATCAGCACGTTACCTATTCTTTAGGTATTCTTTAGGAATTCTTTATGTAGAAATCCTACAGTTATATACTTCTTACATTTCTCCTTGTTTTCCTCCTCATAATTTGAACATTTAAAGGATTCCAATGTCCATTTCTGAAGTTAAAGCTTTTAACTGAAGTCTGAATTACTCTTGGTTTATCTTGAATTATGCTATATAATCTTAAATACATTCTTCCAAAATATTTCATCAAAGAAATTATGATTTTCAGCTTGGTTTTGAATATAAAACATCCTGTTTTGGGTATTGTGCTTGGCACTCAAAAGAGGCTTTTGCATTCAGACTAGGACCATTGACCATAGAACATGAATTTGAATTTGAAAGGGTTTGAATGCAAAACATTTTGTAAGTCTGGATTACCTATGGAGAAATTCTGTTTGATGTCTGATTGAGAGCTCAGGATGTTTCCAAAAGATCCCAAAACCCAATGAAAAATAAACCCATTGATCAGATTAAGAAATCATCAGGAATTATCTTTTTCTTAACCCCAGTATTGGACCTTCTGATAATCTTCCTTTCAAACAGTAACCAGGCTTGAATCTTCTTAGCTTTTGGCAGATCATAAATAGCTGATTAGATGTAACCACATACTATGGCAAGATGTAGCCATAGCACTTAGACTTATATACTGCTTCACAGTGCTTTACAACCCTCTCTAAGCAGTTTACAGAGTCAGCATATTTTCTCCAACAATCTGGGTCCTCCTTTTACCAACCTCAGAAAGATGGAAGGCTGAGTCAACCTTGAGCTGGTCAGGATTGAACTGCTGGCAGTCGGCAGAGTTAGCCTGCCATACTGCATTCTAAACACTGCACCACCACAGCTCTTTTTACAAGTAAGTCCTATCTAATTTAATGGAGTTTATTCCCAAGTATGAATTCCCTGACTGCAAAAACGAAATATATTCAGAGTCAAAAGGCAATGATGGAAAACTTGGATGAATGAATATTCTTGTTCTTGTGACAAAAAAAGAGGATTCAATTACTTAAAAGTACACTCTAGGTAACGGAACCAGGACAAGGCAAACCTGTGTACATGCTATGGGATAGAAAGAGAGCATTGGTTCCTGCTAAGCAAGCTCAGAGTTTTGTTCATAGATTGTTTCATTACTGCTGCAGAAAGGAAGTGTTAGCTTGATACTGCAGATGCGCATTAAAAGTGGCATTTAGCACTTGGGTGCATTGAACACTTGAAACATAATGTGAACACACAAAGTCTAAAAAAACCCCAAATTTTTACAAGAATATGAGATTTTATATCATCAGAGATGAAGATAAATCCTCCCGCATCCCAGCAGACTTTCTAAAGAATGAAAGAATGAACATCAGCAGTCTACTATATAGCCATTACCAACTTGAAATAAGATATGGAAGCATCTTTAGAAGTCTGAAGATTAAATATGCAAATTCAGGCAAGACTGAACCCCACTGTGATTTCCATCACATATTCTCTGTCATTTCCTACTGACAAGCCCATCATAAAGAAGCAGATGATGATGATGATGATGATGATGAAGAAGAAGAAGAAGAAGAAGAACAGTTCTTGAAACCCTGCACATCATTTCTACTAATCTGGCCTATGACCATCATTGAGAATATTCTGTCATTTTTCAAATTATTGCCTGTACTGAGGTTAGTTTTGAATAATATAAGCAGATTTCATGAACACATTCCCACTTAAGGTTGTTGATTAGTTTTGATTGAAATGGCCCCCAAGGCTGAGTCTTGCACTGACAATTTACTCTGTACCAAAGGTGCTTTTTTCACGAGGCAACTGGACTTTCTTGGGTTTTTTTTTCTTTGAAGACATTTCGCTTCTCATCTAAGAAGCTTCTTCAGCTCTGTATCGTATCTTTCAATAAAGTACTGGGCTTTCTTTCTTTTCCTATTAAACTTTCCTCATTAACATGGCCCTCTTGTTCAATTGCCCTGATGGCATCTATCAAATCCATTGCTGAAATACCAAGTTCTTTTCTTACAAACAGATATCAGGCTAGTCTCTTAATGGAATTAAACTCAGCTGAATCAAATGTGGTGCATCATTAAAGACTGGCAGCTCAAGAAAGGCATTATTCAAGTTCTGCAGAGCTGGTGTTTGCCTGCTAACATATCTTCTCAAAGTCAAAGAGTTTATCTTCCCACTTGCACTTCTTGTGCATCCATGAAATGTGGCCATTTTGGAGTAGATTAAATACTGTATATGGGGATGAAACTATGAGGAGAATGAAAGGAATTGGTAGTGTCTGAGCAATGGTCCAGGTATATTGAATGTGGCTCCTTAGTGTCTCTGAGTTTGGTGGGGTATTTTTTTGCAGAGGTTTCATTACCAAAGTAGTTAACATCATCAGTCCAAGGACACCATAGTTCAACTCTGAGCTACAGATATTCACTTTTATCAATACACTGAATGTAGCTTATAATTAGAGAACCTATCGAAGAAATAATGAACATGGAAATAATATTCTAACCATGTCCAAATTAAGGTCTTCCCATCACTGGCTACTTTTATTTGCAATGTTAAGGCAAGTTTTGTTTGCATGAAACCCTGTCTAAACTTCTGTAAAGATTCAAAGGAACGTTTTCTAGAATTTGCAAGAAAAAAAGTAAAAAACAAAACACATAGTAATTTATCCAGTGTGAAAAAATTCTGAGGAACCCTAAATAAATCTATTCATAAAAATGGATAAACATGACAAAAGTGAATTTGTGCTGGAATTATTTGGCCATTTTACTCATTGCTGAGAGGATTGCAAAGAGAGGAAACATATTGATGAAAAAAGAAAGGACAATAAAAGGAGAGTGAAAATATCCATCCAACTAGTTTATAAATAGAAATACTTGCTTTATTTCAGTGACGATGGGATCAGTGCTCGATCTTCCAAAGGAAAAAAGACCCTGCTTTTCCTTCTGTTGCATTTTTAACACTGGAGATAGCCTATACAGCCTTTTCAATTAGAACAAGGAAGCTCAGCCAATGACCTTAAGGTTGCAGGTAGGTTTTGCTTTTCCAAGTGAAGATCACTGGCCTAATTTTCTGGTAAAGTTAGGTGAGACACGCATAAAACATATATGCCTTAAAATGGCTTAAATATATTGCAGGAGAAGGCAGAGGAGAAGAATTCATTCTCTGTAAGAATGCTTCAATTGTGAAGAGTATGCTTTGATGTAAATCTGATGTAGAATTTAATACTAATTAGAATTTATATAGATTTGTGCCACATCAAAATTTGGGGTTTTTATATTATATTTCACTAATCGATAACACCAAGTACTGACTTATGTTCTGTTTATAGTTTTGTCTTTGATCTGTACTGTCTCAATCAAGTACCTTTGGCTTAAAATTCAACAATAATCTTTGAGTTTTCTTTAGAGAAAGGATATGAAATACTGCATAAAAGCCTAAGTAAAAGCCTAAGTCCTTAATGAACTAGATATTACAAGGTTTTACAATAGTTAAGATCCATTGTTTACTCATTCATACTTGTATTATTATTTCTACTTTACTTCTTACTTTCTTATATTTATACCCTTTTTATAGGTGCCAATATCATACAAAGAGGATATTCATGAAAAATGAAACAGAATTAGCAGCTTAATCATGTTCATCAGAATAACCCATGAAAGTACCTACAAATATATCTGTAAAACAAAGTCCATTTTTTAAAAAAATGAAGAGTGGGGAGACAAATTTGAACAGATCTCAATTCACATGCAACAGCTAATAGACAATCAGTTCCATTCAGGAATAATAACCTGAAAAAAAAAGTAATTGGTACAAAGAGTGATGAGGTCAGTTTTAGTAGTTATTTGCCTTTCTGTTTTTCAGTATACAGTTTATCCCTCTAGATCAATTATCTCTCCATCAATTAAATGAAACTCCTGGAGTTAAACAATGTAATGTAATAATGTAATTGAAACCAGTACTCCAAACTTAACACATTTATGGATCACTTCACTTATCCCTAAAGTACTGGACTGTTTAGGCTTCATACTGTATGTGAAACAAATATTCGTCTCTTGGTTCAATCCTAACGTAAATATTACACTGAGGACTGCAAATTAATCCCTTTCAAGGGTCTGAAATGTGATGTTAGTATACACTACAATAGCTGGGTCACCTATTAACATCTGTTTTTTTTATTCGACTGTTTACTTGTTTTTATTGTTGTAAACTACCCAGACTTTCAATGTTCAAGCCATATATGTTATTTAAATGAATAAAATGCATGCTTTCATTGATGAGGCACAGTCCTAATTTCTGTTTTTTTATATATTTATATCTTAACTCATTCATTATTTATATGATGGGCTTAGATCAGGGGTCTTCAAACTTGTCTCTTTTATGACTTGTGGACCTCAACTCCCAGAATTCCTCAGCCAGGCACACTGGCTGAGGAATTCTGGGAGTTGAAGTCCACAAATCATAAAAGGGACAAGTCTGAGGACCCCTGGCTTAGATTGTGTATAATTATCTTTTTTTATTTTGTCACACTTTGGTGATATAATGGGCTGTGAAAATAACCTTGATTAACAGGAGGAAGAGCCATAGCCAAGGCAGAGATCAGATAAGAGAAATGTGAATCCCCAAAGCAGGAATAAAAAACTTTCAGACTGGACTCTCCCTAGTTCTCTTTAGGAAAAATGTGGAGAGGGGGAATACACAGTCCGGGTTGCAAGATTCTGTTTCTATGCCCTATAATAGAAATAGTTTTAGCATTTATAGCTTTGATGTTCAAAGTCTGGCCTCCCTCAAAGGGCTGACAGGTATGACCATGTAACACCACTGCCATCCAAGCTATCCAATGGAATCCAAAGTGCTGCTGTATAACCTAAAAGCTCTACATGACACAGGACTGGTTACCTATCCCACGCCAATTATAATCCATTGCTCCCTTTAGGAAGGCTCTATATTGTTATTTATATTTATTGGGGATTTTACATAAGGTACAAAGCAAATATAAAGAAAAAGATAGACAAGAAAGAAAAGAAGAAGAGAAAGAGTGCAAGAAAAGAAAAAAGCATGAAAGAAAACTAAAGTTATGAAATAACTTCTGACCTTCTCCTCAACAGATGCTGACAAACCTATTATCTCCCTTCCCTTTTAACTCCTTCCAAAATACCTTCAGCCCCCTATTTAATTTTCATTTTGTTTAAGTGATTAAATCCATAAGGCATCATTTTGGTTTTTTTTTTCTTTTAGCAAAAAGTCCATCAAAGGTTTCCAGATTAAAAAAAAATACTTGTTATTTTCTTCCTGATTGGACAGGTTAGTTTTGCCATTTCTGCTAGTTCTGAGATTTTTACAATTCATTTTTTTAGACTGAATTTTCTGAATTTTTGATTTTTTTTTGTCATATTCTGATTTCCTTATATTTTTCTTTATTAACCTCTGGGTTTTATTTTTGTAATTGATTTTAATTTAATGTTTTAAAGAAATAAACAGAATTGTGCAGGTGAATTCTTTGATAGGAGGGAATCTAATGCAGAGTTTCCATGAGTGAGAGGCCTGCAGCTATTTTTCATCATGCAGATCTCGTGCACCCTCAACATCTGCTGCAAATGCTTCCAGCTAACCAAAGCAGATTTTGAAAGAGCCTAGCAGGTGGCAGGGAGAAAATAAAGGGAGAATCTCAGTGCAAAAGCTCAATAAATGTGGATTTCATCACTTGCTTTGAGTATTTGTATTATTTCTACTGCCTTGTAAATGCTTAGGCTTTGAATGGGATAGAAATATATCATTCAGTAAATAATTTAAACCTTTAATAACATATATCAGTGAAAACTGGAAAAGTAGAAGGTAGCTTCTATTTTTATCTGTGAAATATTAGAGGTAAATTTTTTATATCCTTCTATGTTTCTGAAATAATTGTTCTAACAATGCTGCAGAGATGGAATAAGTTCCTCGCTGCAATATTATTTTTCAAGCTTTCTTTTCGAGAAAATGAAAAATCAAGGCTTAGGAATCTTATACATACAGCCAACCCTTCATTTATTCAAACCACCGTGCCACCAACGAGCCGTGGTAGTGCAGTGGTTAGAATGCAGCATTGCAGGCTAATTCTGCCGACTGCCAGCAGTTCAATCCTGACCAGCTCAAGGTTGACTCAGCCTTCCATCCTTCTGAGGTCAGTAAAAGGAGGACCAAGATTATTGGGGGCAATGGGCTGACTCTGTAAACCGCTTAGAGAGGGCTGTGAAGCACTGTGAAATGGGATATAAGTCTAAATGCCATTGCTATTATCAATTGGTCTGTATTCCATTCTTTGTCCCATTGATGTATCAACAAAACAGTTTCTGAGAATGAATTTCTGAATCACAGCTTAAGCAGAAGAGTATATTTAGATGTACAGGTAGTCCTTGACTTAAGACCACAATTGGAGCCAGAATTTCAGTTGCTAAGCATGGCAGTTGTTAAAGCCTTGTGATCTTTTTGCAATGGTTATTAAGCAAATCACTGCAGTTGTCAATTGAATCATGAGGTTATAAGTGAGCCTGGCTTTCCACGCTATCTGTTGGAAGCTGGCTGGGAAGGTTGCAAATGGCGATCATGTAACCCTGGGATGTTGTAACCATTGTAAATACATTGCCACTTGTCAAATGCCTGAATTTTGATTATGTCACTGGGAGCATGCTTTGACAGTTGTAAGTGTGAGGACTGGTTGTAGGTCAATTTTTTTTAGTGCCATTGTAAGTGTGAATGGTTATTAAACAAAAGGTTGTAAGTTGAGGACTACCAATAACTATTACTTATCGTCAATAAATTATTATGTCTTACTCGGCATAGTATCAAAAGTCTCTCTATTAAATTGATTTACATGGATCTCCCAAGACTATTTCTTCCTTTAAAGATTCATTGTCAAGGAACAAGTGGAAATAGTTTGCATGTTGAAATGTGGTCCGTCTCCTTTTATATCCTAGTGCAATGGGCTGACTTGAGGGTTACTTGAGGGGTAGAACTGTTAGTTGAGGATGTAACAGAAGAATAAAGAAGAGCAGTGGCTGCATTTGGTTAGGTATTTATTAGGAATATAGCTTACAATGATTAAACGGGAGCTCTTCCCCCTGATATTTCCTCCCCATCCCAACTCTGCATCAAATAGACATTTAGCCTGTCAGTGTAGCTGCTGCTGCTGCTGCTGTTACTCATCCACTTGATTTACTCAGTGGCTGGAGGGCTTCCAGGGCATTTCCTTGCCTCATTTGAAGAAATAACACTCAACAATAAAAAAATGAACTCTCCGAGAGAATAAGCACAAATATATACCAACTGTCCATTAGCCTGAAAATGGCTTAAATGTGAATTTTCTGTTCAACTTTTTCTCTTCTTACATTTACAGACAACTGGAAGTACAATTCAATGACCTATACTTACTTTTTTTTAAATATCTACACGGTCACTAGGACCGCTAAACTCTCTCTGATTTTAAGGATAATATACACATGCAGACTTAGAGCATTTGTCATGAATGATCTCAAGAATCCTTGCAATTGTAGATCAGTCTTAGTGTCCCCATATTTCTATGTTGTATTTTGGCTGGGATCTGATGAAACTAGAAGCATCACTACCAGTTATTTGTAACTCACACAACTGAGATTAAAGAATCAAATTATTAAAAATAAATATAAATAAATAAATAAATAAAAATAATGTTGCAGATTTAGGGCTGAGGCTCAAAAACAAACCAGCAAACATTGCTAGCCTATATAAACTCATGCAGTCATGCCAGCTATCTCTTTCCTGCTGAAGTTCTCTCAGCTCTCCTACCACCACCACTAGTTTGTTTCATGTTTAAATTCTTGTCTATTTTAACTTCGTGAAGCACAGAAGTAAACCTAAATTAGTCCCAGATATAACAAAGAACATATTAAAGAAGCTTGTAATTAAAGAAGCATACAAGATACTAGAAAGAAGCTAACTAGTAGTAAAGTTCTGTTTGATGTGTTATCCAAATGTGGTTGTAATTACCTGCATGGTATGAGTAATATGAATAT